TTTATTTTCACAATTGGTGGTCATAATCACATACTTCCAATAACAGAAGTGTTTTAAATGGCGAAAATATTCCTTTTTTGGCAATATCAAACTAAAATAATAATAATAATAATTTTAGACAAATAACAAAATCTAACTTTTAATACGGTCATTCGGTTACTTATATTTATATCTGGGAAAGTTTTAAATTTGTTATGAAAAATTAAAATGCAAGAAGTTCGACGCCCGAGCGACAAAAATTAATGGGCATATTTTAATTTAAAAATTTACAATTTTTGATGTAATTTTCAGTTTAGTTTTAAGGATGCGTTAATTAAGTTAGAATCCTTCGAGGAAATAAGTTTGATGGAATGCAGAGGACAGTGTGTATAATTTAATAGGCGCCCAAGGAAGTCATGTGATGTCCATAGCAGACTTTTTACAAAATTTTTGTTGCAGAGTGAGACGAAAAATCTCCCTTCACAAACTGATTAGTCATACTTCGTAAAATGATTCTTAATATACATTTGGCGTCCGCTAATAGCGGAACCGCTAAATACTGCAAGTTTGACCTCAGGCGTACGGGTTGACTGCATGGCTGGTTTTTCTGAATATTACTCATGTGTAAGGTGAATATGAGCCAGTTTCCTTTAGAAAGAATTCGAGAATGCATCTTTACACTGAGGCAGATAGCCACTGCGGGCTTTGTCATATTTGAATAACCTTAATATATATTCAGAACTTAAAATTATGTAGATTTTTAATTGTTTTGTTAATTTATATTAAACCACAAAACAACAAAGCCATTCCGTGATTTTTCAGTTACACTGTAATTCTGAAATATGTATGAATTTTTTGGAAAGATTGCTAATTAGAAATGCTCAAAATAAAAAAAAAAAAAAAAAAAAAGTACTTCTAAAAACCTTCTTAAGTAAACGTAAATACTTCTTACGTAGTCATAAAATAAATACTTCTTATATCTAGATGTAGTCACCGCATGACATTCTTGCAAGTCGTATTTAAATATGCACATTTTTTGCTGCATTTCATTTAAACTTATGTCCTCGAATTTCATTAGAGATATATTACTCATTCGATGGATTCAGTTGTTTCTACGCAGAAACAAGCAATTCGGCCAGCGGGCAGGAAGACAAATTTTTGATGCACAAAACTGAAAATTTACTTTTAGTTCAACTCGGCAAAAAGACACTGAAGTTGGTGCACAAACTAATTTCACTCACTGTTCTACTAAAAGTTTCAAATGTAAATACGGCGGCCTCGTTTGGCCTAGCCCCGCTCAAACTTTCAAATTGTTGATAATTCTAGGAATATTGCATGCAGAACATAAGAACCTTATCCAGAACCAGAAACCTTAACCAGAACATAAGAACATAATTAAATCACTTTTAAAGGAAAAAAATGCTCAATTTACCAACATCTAAAAATAATAAAAAAAAAAAAAAAAAAAAAAAAAAAAAAACTGAGCTCACTGAGCTGGGTAACAGAGGGGGGTATATACAGATAGATAGATATATAGATAAATAGATATATAATAATTTATTTACTAAAGAAATATTGATTATATTATCTCCTAATATTAATTTTAGTAGAAAGTATCTAAAAAGAGTGAACCCATAGGTGGGAAGTTTAATTCCGAAAATTGTTTAAAGTAACTTGAATTAAATTGTTAAAAATGTTTTAACGGGGACTTGAAGTAAATCATGAATAACAAAACTCTTTAAGGGTACTTGAATTCAAATCATATAAACAGAAATTTCAAACTTTGAAGAAAGCAAGTAAAAAACAAATAATTATTGCTATTGATCGGAAATTAGTTGACTTTTCAAGGGGAATAAACCAACTCCCTTTCAATGAACAATAATTAATAAATAAATACAAAGGTGTTTCGTCTTTTACTCAAGTAATAATGGTGATGCCAAACTGGCAAATCAAGTTAGGCCAAATATTTCCGTGAAGTGAAGGTATTTAGAACCAAAGTAGAGTACTAAAGAATTCATTTTTATTAAGGTATTTAGAACCAAACTAGAGCATCAAAGAACTCATTCTTATTAAGCCTTTTCGCTAATACAATTTTGAGTGAAAAGCAATTTATGTAGTAAAATTGATAAAATACTTGAAGTAATTGTCCCCCGACACCCTCGCTTTTATGCATTTTAATTCAAAACTATTTGTAAAAAATTAAACAGTGGTAATCTTAATTGGAATTATGAAATAGAACACAAAGTAATCGAAAAAACATTAGAAAATTAAGAAATATAATGCAATCTTTGCAAAAACAAATCAAATAATAAAAATTTAAAATTAATGTATATATAATAAGAAAAGGGAATGTACATGAAGATATAAAAGGCCAGAAAAAGCATTAATTAACTTACGTTCTTTCTAGTGTGTTGTGGGCAAAGTGTTCTCTTCGGCGTCTTACTAAGAAGGGTTGTGTGTCCGAAATTTTTTATCGGTAGCGGGGGCTTTGAATTATCTCAGGCGGCGAAGAGATAGATAGATAGATAGTATACATTTATGTAATAAGTGCATAGAAGGAAGCCGGTATACTTCTTCATTACATTAATATAATCCGCTAAAAACTAAATATTTTGCTGCTTAATAGACCCATCATTAGCCAAGCAATAAAACCCCAGAATAAACTTGTTGAAAGCTGGTTGTTTGATATGGACTCAAATCCCGGAGTTTTTCGTGTTTTCTTTTGTGTAACTTGAAAATATAGGCAGACAGTTCTCGTGTGCTTGACCTTATCCAAATAACTATCTAACTTTTGTTGTTATATTTTTATGTATTATTTAAACTAGCGAAAATTTGAAAGAACACAAAATTAACCACTATTTTAATTTTAGTTAGCCTGGAAAGGTTTGGTTTGGTTTATTAATTAATGGCAAAGCACGCGATGTCTGTTTGCCTAAGGGAAATAATGCCTTCGGGGAGGAATTTCTAAGAAAAACTGTTTCGTATGGGGTCTCGTCCTTCGGGGTTAGACGTGGGGAAATCCCGAAAGCGCCCATGCAACCAACCCATTCGCCTGGAATCGAACCCAGGTCGGAACCACGAATGTTCAGCGACTTTACCGCTCAGCCGCTGTTGGGCCCGTTAGTCTCAAAATTAAAAGCAGTTCGAGAAATTGGATTTCCAATAAATAAAGTTCTCCAATTAGTCTGCAGACTTCTGTATTTACTTTCCATATATTCAGAGCATGAAAATTATAAATTGGTCTGTGCTTCATAATCATGATTACTACGAAATCCTGAATATCATTTTGCAATAAGAAAAAACTGCTTTCAGTTAAGTTTATTGTTCAAAAGAGTTAATTATTTACAACAAAGATTATTATTCGGAAACAAATTGCTACGTAATGTCTTACATGCCGCTCCTTGGGCAAATGTTAACGGAATGAATGATCATGGTCCCAGTTGAATGAGCAAAAACATGAAGGGAAATATAAAACGTAACCGCAAAGCAGTACATAGAATGGCTTGACCTAGTTCAAAAGAATCATTTTCAACGATCATTTGCGGTTATATTAAACAGTGTCCGAAGGATGACAAAGACTTTAAAATGATGCAGTCAAAAACTCCTTGAAATGTTTACAAAATTAATGATGAAAAAATATAAGTAATAGGAGTACGACATTTATAAATATCATTGCAGCAATTAAACGTTTTGAATCATATTGCTCATTACTAAATATTGATATGAAAGTATGTAGTTGTTCTAAGCAAATCTAACTACTAATATATTTTTATCGAAACAGCTTCAGAACTAATTACGAAACTATTTCAGTTGTCTGAGTTATTTGTACTTTGAGTTCTTCAGTACTTGTAACATTCAGTACATATAGTTCATCTACGTCACATTCCCGCAAGTAGACTAGGCTGCTTGGATATAGCAAAGAATGGAGGGCTATCTGCCTAAGAGGAGGGATGCCTTAGTGGAAGACTTTTTGAGGGAACTAGCTCGTATTTGCGTTACACATACGAAAAACCACGAAAACCAGCATGTAGCCAGACCTTTCGCCTGAGATCAAATCCAAAACAAAGTCGTATTGCTAAAATTCTATTCAAATACTACAAAGCACTATTGAAATATCTTAACCACTCGACCACTGCTGAGGAGAAATTAAGTGGTCTGCAAAAGAGCAGAGTTGTTATAGAATTAACGATGCTAATTGCTACAAAGAAGGTTATTATCCAGGTACGTGTGCTTATCTTGTCTAGTGGTTCGTGATTTTCAGTTGAAATTAAATTGCTTTGATGATGTTCAGTAATATAGTAAAAACTATGAACACCTTTGGAAATGTATTTTTGATGGTTTTGATTCTTAAATCGCTATGCAATATGCTATTCTTTATAAATCTTATAAATCAACGAGCATTGGTTGTTTCCCTAAGAATGTTATTTTGCAGAATTTGAATTTTGTAGAAATTTATCTTTGCAGCACGTTCGCACATGGGGGGGGGCGTAAATTGAGGTTGGACTGATTACTGTTTTGTACAATATCATTTTATTATGAAGACTGTTATGTTTTCCGATCTTTGAGAAAGAAAATTGCTTTTTATTTGTTAACATTAATTGAAATTCTCTAGTCTGTAAGCCATTTCTCCAGCTAAACAAGATAATGCTGAAGTTGACAGTTAATATTTTCAAATGTTTAGGTCTGTGTCAGATTAGATGTATCATAAGCGAAGCTTGCTAATTGAATTATAGGATATTGTGGGATGCATTACTTACACGCATTTTTACGTCACGTCAGTGTACTATCCAAAACAACCAAAATACCGAGCAACATAATATTCGAGATTACTCAGCAATCAATAAAAATTACGCTAAGACTAATGGCTGTTAAATGTAAATGTTGTACCAAGATATCGTAATCTCTACTAACGGTAATAGTAAAATTCACCTAGTAGCACAACCATCTACACCTTCTTAAAAAAAAAAAAAAAAAAAAAAAAAAAAAAAAAACTCTGATGATACTCCATCTCATTTCAGATGCAATCCACGGCGTTTCTAATCCGATGACGAAGAAAATGTTCTCTCATCAGGACTTCATCCCCCCGAATTCATCCCCTTACTGCCAACAAAGCCTGCCGCAGACGTGGTGTCCAGAGCGGGGAGGCTGCGGCCCAGTCGCCCGTCGCAACGAACGGGAAAGGAAACGGGTTCGTCTGGTCAACATGGGATTCGCCAAGTTGAGACAATATATACCGGCCACAGGAAGACCGGGGAAAAGACTCAGCAAGGTGAGATATGAATATTGTACATCAGTGGTCTCAAATTGTCCCCGAGCAATTTAATACGGCCGCGACCACATTTTTCGCAAATCATTATTACCCCCGAAAGCAAACCGAAAAGCGATTTTGCCCTGTTTCACTTTTCGTTCAAGTGTGTTGCTAATCGGCAAAATATAAGATAGCTATCGTTCAAATTTAATTTGTCTATTACTGATGAATAAACTAAGCTGTTTAAAAGCAATCGATGCGGTTCTTAAAAATATTATTTATTTACCTTTTAGTCTGAATTAAATAAAAATGTATTGAATTCATGATATATCTAACTAAAAACATTACATATTTTTACGGAATCACATTACGTATTTTTCACGTTTTAAATAGAGAGAAGATACTTAACGTTCCCATGTTAGTCTAAATGCATATTCATTTAATATCCTATAAAATCCACTTTGGCACGTCTGTGGGTGATTACTAAAATCTCAACCATTTCGGACTTTTTTATGACAATTCTTAAAGCAAGAATTAGAAGAACGATTTAAGATTCTAATAATTTTGAGTCCAATTTTACGATATTTTCATTACCATTAAAAACGAACTGGAGTAACGTTCCAGAAAATCTATCAATACAGCTAATTAGTTTACATGTGATACAAATCTTATTCAAAGATTTGGAGATATATATAAATAGATTTGATAAACCTTTTTTCAAAGAAATGAAGATATACCCTCTATTATGGGTTTTTGCAAGAAAGATAAATATCCTCAGTTACAAATTTCTGCAATAACAATGATCGCTTTGTTCAAGAATACGTTTATATACGATTTTTTTCGCAGCTAAAAATGAATAAGTGTAAATAAAAACTAGACTCGCCGATGAGCATCTGCGAGTGGTGATAAAGATAGTTTCTAGCAATTTTTCACCCAAGCTTACAAACTTTAAGACTTAGGGATAATTCCTTACAGAGTCTTTTAACCTCTAGTTAGTTTATGCTGCTCAAGTATACGAGATATTATAGAGTAACTCCAACACATCAATAGAAAAAATTGTGCTTTTACAAGATTTCTATAGTGAGTTAGTATGTCTGTGGATAGAACTCACTCACTGAAGGAGACTTCATCTTCATCTTACAAGATTTCTATAGTGAGTTAGTATGTCTGTGGATAGAACTCACTCACTGAAGGAGACTTCATCTTAATTTAATATATGCATCTTACTCTAATTCCAACACATTTAAGTCAGCAGACAGCAGATATATGTAAACTGTAATACATTAATAAAGGAGTGGCCAACCTTTTACTCCAATATTTCGACAGAAGAGCTCAGATGCGCCATATTTCTCGAGCACATTTTTACGTTGATGGTTACAAACAATTAATGCAGAGATCTGTTTATAGACATAGTTAGTTTTTAAATAATTTCATTACTGTGAGTGAAACAATATGTAGTGAACTTTAGTCGTGAAAAGTCTGTTAAGGTCCTACTCCGGGGTCTCCCCTCTACTACAGATGTTAGCGGAATCAAAAATGTACTAGAAGAAAAGGGATATAATATTTAAAAGGTTGTGCAGTTAACAAAAAATCGTACTAAAGCTCCTATGCCGCTATTTCAAATACAGCTGCTTCAAAATGATACACTCGAGATTATCTGGAAGCTCTCTAATCTTCTCTATTTTGAAACTAGTATTGAGAAATATGTGTCTAAATTTCAGATACCTCAATGCTTTAACTGCCAAAAGGGGCATCATTCGTCTGAAACCTGCCGCGTGGCACCTAGGTGTGTTAAATGCACTGGTTTTTCACAAAAACTCTGACTGTGAAATTAAAGGCAAAACTGATACGCCTAAGTTTGTTAACTGTGGATTAGTAGGTCATCGAGCTCCCTGCAGTGAATTTCCGAAAGCCAAAAATGCAGGTAAATTTTCGATCAGACCTGGCGTCAATTACGCACAGGCCCTTAACCCTGAAAGGAAACATGTGCAAACACAGAAACCCGTTCAGACACATGCAGATACGAATGCTGATCTAACTGACGCAAGCTTGAATCCTACGAATAAATTTTAAATGAGCGGAATCAGGGATCTACTCATGAAAATAATGGCTTAATTTCAAAAATTATTTAGCAGTAACCTAAACAAAATCGCCCAAATATTCAGGCATAAAATTCCAGACATGAGAAACTGTGGAAATGACCTCGGACAGAAAACAAACATTTTCTACCGGATATTGGAAGAAATTAACAACATTTGTGCACAGAAACTAGATCTTACGTGTCCGACAAATATCGTATATTTTTTGTATCGTTTCATGTCTAATTTCTCCCATTTGATTATGTTATTTGGCACCCCATTTTCCTTTTGATCACATATTCCATTTTACCTATTTCTTATATTGTGTACCTGTGAATTCTTGACTCTCCCCTAAAAATCTGGCCAATACTTTTGCTTTATATTTTTCGCACTTTCTTGTCTTATCATCTTGTGTATAGCAGCTCAGGACTGCGGATGAACTCTTGTCTACGACTCTTTCGAATTATTGAAATGTTCTCACTTCCCGTTTGGGATGAACTTATGCTATAGAATAACTGTAGGAAATCGACTACTTGTTATCCAGGAATAGCGCATTCACACGCAGGAGCCTAAAACTGCGAACCGCGTTCGCCTGAATCGACTTACAAGTGTTCCTCCCAATATCTTGATTTTTTCAATATATTTGATCAACTTGCCATATTCTCAGCACATTTACTACTCTTTCAAACATGAAAACGGACTCAAATCCTCATTTTCTAACTGAGAGATAAACAGTTTTAATTTCACTTCAAATAGACTGATGCTGTTTATTAAGCTGGGGAATAATATATTTCAGCTTTGCAGTTTCAAATTTGGATCATTGAGGGGACTAGTAATATTAATTGAAAATGCCAAATCAAATAGCTAGTTGCTGTCAAACATTAGGATTCTTTCAGAAGGCAGTTCATTTTCCTGTTCTAAAAAATACTAAATGTATACTGAAATAAAAATATATAAATTAAAAATCAGTAATCCAAAGACTAACATCAACTGCCTTTAAGTGGTAAAAATCAAGCTCGAATATTATAATTATTATAACGACCTCTTAGTACATTAAGAATAGGTCAAAATCGCAAATGTGAATTAATATCTCAGTAATTTTGGCGTAACGAGTCAAAAGGTTTGTTTCTAAATTTTTATAAGTGAGTCAAAATTTCTAAATATAGTATAGTGATCGAGGAACGTGTAACAAATTAAATTCTTATTTATACAATTAAAAAAATGAATCGTCGCATTCTGAAACATTTGTACTGGAAGTAGTTTACGACAACGTGCGAAATAAAGGAAAGTAAGTTCTTTTTTTAACAAGGTATATAATCACAATATACAAACCAAACATAAATTGGCCTATACTGAAATAACACCTGAAAAGGATAGTGTTGTTCTCACTTTGCAAAGAAAGTAGCGGTGCAATCATTATCTAAGCTTTTTGTCTTTCAATTATAACATACATTATATGAAACAAGTGATCCATAGAAAAGAATTAGAAAGGATAAAAACATTAAGATTTTCTAAATTGAATTTCTACCAGCTAGAACTAGTTAAAAAATGGAGAAAAAATATACATTGAGTAAACAAAAAGTCTCGCAGGTGAAAATAAGAAAGAACCTTAGTTATCTTAAAGAATATATAAAGAAGAAAGTTTGTGTGTTTGTCCTCTCATAACTCGGTCACTACTATAGCTATCACCACCAAACTTTCTACAATTAGGTCGAACGGTCGTCACTTTTCTCAAAAAAAAAAAAAAAAAAAAAAAAAAAAAAAAAAAAGTAGCTAAAATCAGAGCTATAAATTAAAAACTCGGAAAAACGATAATTTTTTTCTCATTTTTCCGAGTGGCAACAGTCTCGCAAGCTGGAGACGAAAATCTGCTTTATTTCGAAAGTTGTTACCATTGCTCTCTTTCAAATCCTAGAGTTTGTTAAATAAAAAAATAGATAAAAGGATGAAATAAAAATAGCTTTCCCAAACATTAAATACGTTATTCCCGATTCCGAAAATTCGAGGGAAGCCATTTCGACTATTCTCATCTTAACCACTTTCATGAGCCAAAATACTAATTAAAAACTCTGAAAACGTTAATTTTCGCACTCATTCTTCCGAGTGGCAACAGTCTCGGGCATTGGAGATAAAAATGCTTTATTTCGAAAAGTGTTGCGACTGCGCGCTTTCAATCGTAGAGTTTGTTAATCAAAAATTTTAAATTTTTACAAAATCTATACACATAAAGAATGATGTCTGTTTGTGTATTTTGTGTTACTGATTTTTGATCAATTATGATCCATTTTTTGTAACATTTAATTGACTAAAAAATAATATAGGTGAAATATTGAATGGAACTTAGCTTTTACGGCCATTTGATTAGAAAGACGAAAATCATTAAAAGCTGCGTGCCGTTGTTGCTGATATAATGAGAGAGAATTAGCTTATTTTTCTATGAAAATTTTCTATGTATGTTCCATATCGCATCAGAGTGAAAAATCTATGATAATTCTATGACTTGAATCGCATTTTTTTGCATCGTTATTAGAGAAGGAATACAGCGGTGTCGTTCTCTCTGTTGTTAGATGCATTATTCTCAATCTAACTTAACTGGCATCGGATACTTCCGCTAGTACTGAATAAAATTCTACCAATTTTGAAAGAGAACTATCTTAGACCCATCTTTTCCAGGTAAAGGGGGGAATGTCAGAGTTAAATGATGCGAAGAGACAAAGTGTAACACAAAGATAAAGTTCCCGATAATACTAGTTGTTTGCAGAAAAATAAACTGCTGGCCACACCATGAAGGAAGCCTTCACATAATATAACTTGCATACACACCTCGATGGAATATGTAAATGATTACAAATTCAGTTTAACATCTATCAAAACCTATTGTGGACAAACCTAAAGCAAAACTTGCTTTAGTTCCAAAACAGCAAAAACGAGCAGTAATGAATAACAGGAAGCATTATCAGGCAGTTTAATTATACAGAACGAAAGCCATGACAAAACAAAATATGAATATGGACATTCTTGTAAGTGAATGCTTAAAGTCTTTTGAATACGTTTGTGTGGGATAGGTGATTACTTAACATGATGCTTTTAAGAAATAAGAACGCAAACTTTTAAAAGTAGGCGTTTCTAAAGCAACTAAGAAATATGCAGCCACACCTTATTATTACTGCTTCAGACAACAGTTTTCTCCAAGAAAGAATTATTGTGAAGTGTTCGCTTACTTTCTTCCTGTCTTTAGTGAAAAGTGCAAAACGAAAAATTAAGAAAAAAGTAAATTTATGTCATGAATTTTTCTAACATTAACAATGGAGTTTGCTAGTGTTTACTAAATGGAACACAACTCAGAACATAAAATCAAATAAATTTATTAACAATATTAACTATGCAATGCATTATAGCTAAGGTGCTCGGAATCATAATTTGTCGAATCCCTCGAATCGTCGTGCGTTTTATGTTATTCAACTCTTTATCTAAGAATCCGTCAAATCTTCTAAAGATTATGTTTATTAAATCCTATAGATGTGTTCTCTAGAATGTCAAAAACACTGTAATTTCAGTAGTTTGGGATCACCAAGACAGTCGTTTGGGACAGTAGTCAGCACTTTGGGATCACCAAGACAGTTGGGGGGACACCAAGGCACTTGGGACAGTAGTCAGTCGTTTGCGATTACCAAGAGAGTTGAGGGACACCAAGGCACTTTGGATAGTAGTCAGTAGTTTGCGATCACCAAGACTGTCCAAGTGCTCCACTCTTTGATTTTTCTGGGCCGAGCTGCTAATCATTATACATGTCGTTTATCTGTATTGATTCCTAAAAGAAATTTTCATCTCTTCTACACTTGCTTTGATTTTTTCTAACTTGCTTTTACATTTGCTTTGATTTAAACAGGTTCCTTTAAAATGTATAAAATTTCAACTGTGAATCAGATATTTGTTTTCTAATTATCTTGAGAAAATTAACCTCAGAATTCAAAAATTTGAATTATGTACTCCATTTATTAAATTTCATTTGCAATAATCCCTTACCGAAAGCGGAGTTTACATCATTAATACTCTGCTCGTACTGCAAAATCAGGTTCCGCAAAGTTAACTATAGGAAAATTGTCTTAAGTATATTCCAACTTAAGAAAGTAAACATAATTTAAACGAAGCTAAATATTGTAATTCAAAGAAAAAACCAATTGAAAAGATTTTGATTACTGCTTAATAAATACGTAATAAAGCTCCCCCCTTTTTTTCCCTCTTTGGAAAAGGCTGGTGATTTTTGCTTGAGACAATGCACTCGGCAACTGTTGGAAAGTTTCGTGGTAAAGGAGTACAGTTTTTTGATATCTCTCATGCAATGTCCTCTAATTTCTTCTTCATTTGGGTCAATCTCCATTGCAAAATCAGACAGTTCCTATGCTTTTTTTTAACAACTCGATTAACTTCGTGTAAGTTAAACGTGCTTTATCTTCTTTATTATCACTGCTTTCAGTGTTGGTTAGTGTTATAACATCATTCAATTCTTCGTCATTTCTCGATTAATTCTTTGACTTCTCCGCAACTTCAAAATCCTTTACCGCCAGTTGCCTTTATAATTTATATAATTTCTTCATTTTCAGTCTATGAAAAACTTTTAAAATTGTTTATAGTTTTTCACCAGATGTGAGGAAAGCAAGAATTCAATGTCGGTGAATAATCGTTGAACGACGTATATATGCAATTTAGTCTTGGACAAAAATTAAATTGAAACAATTGAACTATCGCTTATGTTCAAAATCATGTCTTGCAAATCCGCACTCTACAAGGATTTACTATATATTTTTTAAAGAAATATTGATGAATTATTGTGAAATCTTCACTCTTAAACTTGTTTTCACTAAGCGCAGATTTCAAATTTTACTTCAGATTAAAGGGAGGGGGTTAAATAATTTTTTTTCTTTTTCCCTTTTTTCTCCCCCCCCCAACTTTTTTTTAAAATTCTTCTTATATGAGAGATTCGAGAAGTTTGAGGATCTTTTAAGATTCAGATCATTCAGATATGAGTAAATGCAAGACTCATTCCATTTCTACAATAATCCGTAGCTGCAACTTCAAACCTGAACAGAATACGTTTACATCTCACAGAGAATTTCTTACATTTAAAAAAAAAATCGGATGCGTTTTTAAAATTATATGAGGATGTTATTTACCCCCAACTTGAATTTACTTCATTGTTTAAATTCATTGTTTAAATCATACAATTAAATTATTCGTTCGAATTTAGTTCTTTTAGGTCTAACTGTTTGAAACTAGATATGAATAAAGTGAACGGACTTCGTAAGAAGCTAACTAATAGCGAAATACTTCGAAATTCTTGTTCAGCTGCAGGCCCACCTAAGTGCAACGTGAATACGAGCTAGTTTCTTTTAAAAAGTCCTCCATGAAGCCAGGGTTTTCGTTAGGCAGATAGCCTTCGAGTGCTTTCCCATCCATTAAACAAAATGTCTTTTTAAGTTGTAGAATCTTTATTTTCTTAACGCAATTTTTCCTTTTCACGTGAACCAAATTCGAAAAAATTAAAGAAAATGCATAATTTCTGAACAGTTAGAAAATTAGCTTTACAAATTTAAGAAGGAGATTGATTTGCTTCTTCATTAAAAGAGTTTCTTTCGAAATCGAGGCTTCCTTAACTACTACAAAAGAAACATACATTCCTTAGCTATTGATATTTAACAAAAGTCTTCAGTTAAGAAAATTTCATAAAATGTTACTTTCAGGCTTATCAACATCATATGTTCATCAGTTATATGTATCAACCATCAGCAGAACAGAATACGAATTATCTGTTTAAAAATATCTATTGCAGGTTTCGTAGTAGATATCCTAAAAGTTTTGAAACTGGCAGTTTTCTCCAAATCTTCAGCTATCTTTTTAGCTGTGTTTCATCATACAAGATGCTCGTAAAATATAGAAACATCGATATTTAAATATTTGATAATTAATTCCCAAGACGCAGAACAAGTTACCGAAAGAGCACTGAATGGACCACAAAAAAATTAATTTGATTCAGCTTTTTATTATTATTATTATTATTATTATTATTATTAATATAGGGTGTTATATGTTTTACTCCAAGAAAATTATTGATTTGCCGCATTTGGGAAAAAAAAGGGAAAAAAGTATCCATCCTATTGATTCTAGTCCTCATTACATGTGTGGTATTGGTGTAACAGCATCCACAAGATATATCCTTCGCAAATGAGTGCACATTAATCTTGAATAGATTCTACAAAATTATTTATACTGCCAAGACTTATGAAACTACAGTAATTTAATTTCTATATCGTACGTCTTTCATTTTATGTCCTAGTTTTAGCTTATTCCTTATCAATTCAGTTTTTCAATTCATATCTATGTTCTTTCCTAGGTAGAGACGCTTCGATCAGCTATCGACTATATACGCCAGTTGCGCCAGATGCTACGTCAGCCACCGGAGCCTTCATACTACTATCCGCCACAACAGAGGTTGCCCCAGGATGGGAGTTTCCGTTGCGATTTTGGTTGCCCTTGTAATGATGGTGGACCGGAATATGTATTTGAAGCAAGTCCGGAGATGATCTTGCCCTATGGTCCGGATACCTACGTCATGTGAAAAGGTAAGTTTCCAAAACGAATGAGTCGAATGTCATTTTTTGCAAAGGCCTTTTTTAAATAAACTTATTTAATTCTCTGGATAAAGGCAAGAATCACTAGAATAATCCAAACAGATTCAGTTTCTTTTGTGAAAAGGTATCACATACATAAAGCTTCATTTTGAGTTCACTCAGCTATTTGAATTTTTCAGAATTACCCAATCTACACAGAGACAACCTCTTTATTGAAAATCTCGGGTTCTGAAATCCTTACACAGAAGTCGGTATTGATTCTGTCCTTTCTTTGCGAGTGTAATGTTAGAATATCCACTACAATGGATCCTGGATAAAGTTGTCCTTGTCAAGATGGAAATAATCCTACAGATCGGATCATTGCTGTGAAAACTGAATCACTATCCGGCACTGTGTGTGTGGGGGGGGGAGGGGGAATCTTTGGATTTTCAGCTCACAGCTCTCATTCCAGAAATATGGAGTATTATTCAAATTATAAAAGATACGCTTTCCAATTAAACGATCAAGTAGTTTGATTTACTTACTAAGAAGCAAATATTTTGCATAAATAATCTAGCACTATTCTCTGTTGTTCGGATAGGAGGCTTAAATTAGGGGTAAGCGAGATTCAATAGGCAGCTTTCGATAAGTAGAACCTAAGTTCTTGCCAATTAGACCTGCTAATAGTAAATCTAATAAACTGGTAATTAAAAAAAAATTGGAAAAGTTGTTTTTACGTGTATTGTTATTAGGTTTTATCGATGCAAGAATATGAAATATGTGCAACGTCATATTCCAATGCCGGACCTTCCGAATACGCGTCGAGCGTGCTTTCAGTAACAACACACAGGCATGCGGAAAGGAGGAATAAAATGCCTCGTATACCCCCTTTTAAGGGTGACTAGGGATTAGGGGACTCAAAAGCCAAATCCTTGTGATGAAAAATCCTCATCCACCACCTTTTAGTTCGGGCGCCACTGTAGAGTCATTAATATTTTTTTAATGTGGGAAACACGAAAAATGAGCAATGCCCTCGCCGAGACTCGAAACTGGACTTCTCGAATACGCGCCGAGTGTTACTGTTACACCACGAAGGCATGCAGAAAAGAGGGAGAAAATTCCTCATAAAGCCATGTAGAAATGTTGGATTGCATTAATGAACATTTATTTAATTCATATTTTTTTAATATGATTTTTTACAGTGTTACATTGGGTACTTTATTTGTACGTCTGAAATTTCTTTGTGAAATTTAGTAGAGTAGAAAAAATAATTTTCTTGAATCTTTTTCATATACGAGTACTTAAATATGTATAAAATCAAGTAGTTTTATACTGATACATGAACAATATTACTACCTTACTGAAACGTGGTAAAACTAATTAATTGAGCATTTTTACGTCGGGCTTAAGAGAATTCTTTTCTCAGTTAATGAGAAAATTCTGTAAATGCTTCGTTAAAATAACATTTCTGTTACACTCTTAATTTTAAATAGTATTATTATACTAATGGGAGAAAAACAATATCGTAGAAAATAATGCACATTCAATTCAATAAAAATATAAAACAAATATCGAGCCATTTTTCTTTAATGAGTCCTCTTCGAGGGATATCCTTTCCTTAGGTAAATAATCATAGCAAGCTTTACCGCAATTTAAATAACTCAGAAAGCTATAAGGCAAACAGTTTTATGAACTGCATGCTTCCTTGAAGTAAGAACTGCACTAGAATGCATGTAAGGGTTCGATCAATGAATCCCATGTGGTCTAGTGGTTAGGATTCGTGGCTCTCACCCACGCGGCCCGGGTTCGATTCCCGGCATGGGAAGAGAGGCTCAATGGTGTAACGGGTAGCACTCTGGACTCTGAATCCAGCGATTCGAGTTCAAATCTCGGTGGAACCTGATTTTTTGGCTTTCAAGTTGTATTTTCCAAGCCCAGCTCCCGCTTAAAACTATGAACTCATGTTTGTATATAAATGTTTTGTATTTCTGTAAACGTGTGTAAATATTTTAGTCATTCGGAAAATTGTGCTGTTATTTTGATGCTAAACATAAATGAAAGAGCATAGAAACAAACAAACAAAAAATATTGGAATCGTATAAGCCCATTTTTTTCCATGATGTGCGAGGGCTATTTTTTTTTCAACCTCCGATGGGCTATAAAGAAAAGACGGGTGAATATACAAAAAAGATTTTATTACCAAAGTAATGTACAATACGGGTATTTCTCTAATAATACCTTGACGATGAGTCATTTGTCATATCTGTGAACAAGCTTTGCAATACCCTCTTCATAAAATGTCCCCGCAAATAACTGGAAGTGAGTTGTGACGGTTTCTTTCATCTCCACGTAATTTCGGAAGCGCTTCTCGCTAAGCCACTATTTCAGTTCAGGGAACAGATGAAAGTCACTCGGCGCTAGGTCGGGACTATATGGTGGATGTTTGAAAATGTCCCATTGAAATTGCTGAAGGTGCCGTTGGGTTGCACGAGCGCTGTGAAAACAGGCATTGTCATGGATCAGAACAATTCCAGAAGTCAGCATGCCTCTTCGTTTGTTTTGAATAGCTCTCCATAAGCGCCGCAAAATTTCACAATATGAATCTGCATTAATTGTTGTTCCAGGCTGCATAAACTCCACAAGCAACACACCTTTTCGGTCCCAAAAAACAGTTGCCATAACGTATTTACATTTCTCCAACAGCTGCGAAGTCATATTTTTTAAAAAATTCATTATATTTTTTCATAAGAAAGTTATTAATGTGCTGTTCGACAGTCTCTTAAAAAATGAACTTGAAGCTAGTCACAGAAATTTGAAGTGACACGAAGAGATTAAAATCGAAGGAGACAAGGTTTAGTGAATACGGGATGCGACACAAAACATCCCAGCCATATCTCATAAGTATCTGTCTAACATTCATCGAAATCTGGGAACAGAATCTGGAATCTCGAAACATTGTCGTAATGGAAGACAATTGCTCAATAATTTTGCAGTTCTGGACGTTTTGCTTCAATTTCTGCTTTTAAAACTGTTATTTGGAAATGGCATTTTTCAAATTTATAGTCTGATTTGGTGACAACAAATCAGAATATACAATTCCTTTGTAGACTGAAAATACAAAAGTCCTCTGTCGATGCTACCAAAGGAAATTTTTTGGTTTACCCAATGGCACTTTTATTGTAATATTATTGCATAGTATCCACTTTCATTCTCCCGTATTGATCCGTTTCAAAAAAGTTTTATTACTGAAACTCGAACAATCATATTCGGCTCTTTTAAAATATGGGGTACTCATAAATCGAAGCAGTATACATACCAGATTCTTCAGATGGTCATGTACTGTACTTTTTTGAAATAATTAATCTGTCGGATAATTCCTGAACTGTACAGAGTGGTTTTTCAGGAATAGTTCCTTTTATTAGATCCTTGTTTACACAGGATAATCGTAAAGATCCAGCATCGTCTTCAAAGTTGAAATTTCCATGCTTGAACTTCTCAAACCACCTTTGAACTATGTCATCAAAAAAATACATAGCACGAATTTTACAGATGATGAGAATTGAATTCTGGCATTTTTTTTTTTTTTTCTTTTAAAAAAATAAAATAGCAAATATGAAGAAAATGATCTTCTAGGTTCTCCATTCTTAGCATTGCGTTTAAACAAAAATTATGCTACAATAGCCAGAATCACACAACGTGAGCACAAAAAGATCTTATTTAAACATCTGCTTCAATTCCTTATCAGCAGTAAGAAAATAACTAAAAGAAAATACAATTCAATCTGAAAAACTGCAGAACTTTCCGGATGATACAATATTTGCCTGAACACTGGAGCCCTATAATACGAGGAGATATTTGTCAGATGGTATCTCGAATAGCTAAAAATGCAAGCACATAAAATAAATGTTATAAAAAAGTAAAGGAAAAAAAATCTCATTCAGTTTTATTTCTGAGATACATCGATTACTATCAGCTAATACATCCAACAGTTTGAAAAATAAAAGCATACGCTGTTGTTACAGTTATATTTTAATACGAACTGTTTGGATGTATAAAATATAAATAGTCAAGAGGAAAAAAAGACGAATAATTTGGCATTGCATTTTAATCAATGAAGCCTTATAGAAGTTCTTTTCTTTGCACAGTAATTTTTGGATTCCTTGATGAAAGTCTCTTCACGCTTTGTCTCTTCAATCTCTAAATGCAGAAACTTCTCCAGTATGCAAAATTTATATTAATGGTATTCAAATTCTTTGTATCAAAAATTCTTTAATGTATATTTTATGTGCGTTATTTACTGTACTTACACGAAAATTTTCATGAACGGCAATTAAAATAGTATATTACATTTAGGCAATAAAAAAGCAACCTTAGACTGGCATAGGCTTCTCTTCTTAAGAGTAAAAAATTTTGCAATAGTGGGAAGAGCAGCAACCATATTTACAAAGAAATTAACATGCGAAGCAAAGTGAAAACAACCATAAAAGCTATATTCAAAATTTACGCCAATCATAGACTATTTATTTTTATTTATTTATTTATTTTTGCCTAATTTAAAATTTTGCTTTGGTATCAGACTTTTTCAATAAGTGTAATTATACTTGTAATTACCCTCTATTATCTATCTACTCACAAACTAAAAAGCTATATTCAAAATTTACGCCAATCAGAGTCATATACTTTTTTTATTTTTGCTTAATTTAAAATTTTGCTTTGGTATTTTTCTCTTCCAATAAGTGTAATTACAACCCTATCTGATTTCGGCAATCGAAATTCTACTGTACTGATTTAAAGTAGTCAGGAAGTCTGACTGGTCTGAAATTAGTTAGGAATTTTCTTTTCCCCGTTACAAGAAGGGAGAATCATTCATTTGATTATAATCCTTCTCCTTGTCAATATTGAGCCTGAATAGCTCAGTCGGTAGAGCGTGAGGCTTTAAACCTAACGTTCCAAACTAACGTAAGTACCTGTTCGGACGAGCTTTATTTTTGCAAAGAAACAGCCCAGTTT